CTTATAGTAACTGGAGTAGTATTACTGCTGCTGCAGTATGGGTTAGACTCCAGCCGTGTCTATATGGTATGTTCTGATGTGTCTACTTTAATCCTCATTACTCTCTGAAGTGGTCCACTGTACCCGGCTGGAGTTCTTGTTTGTGCAGGTTATGGTGGAGGATGAAAGGTGGTCACGGTCACTTCACATCTTTACAAATTAGCCGAAGCTGTCAGGTCCCTGCTTTTACTGCCAACCTCCCCTAAACTCAGTGTTTAGTGCTATAAATCCTGCACTGTGCACACATACACTGTAAAAAAAAAAGGTCTAATAAAATACAATACAATAAAATAATAGTAACATATATAAAAGTATAATAACAGATAAAAATACACATAAAAAGGTTCAAATTCATTTTAATTTGACATGGAAAAATAAAAAATCATATACAATTTTTAAAAATAATTAAAAAAAAGAAAATTATTACTTTTCAGTGTATCATTAAATTTCATTTATTTATATGACAGTACTTTGCTATTATCTTTAAAGTTATGAAGTGCCACTGACTGCCAGTGTGATTCAAATCATTTTCGTAAAACAGTAAATATATGTTTTCAGCACATTCAGACAATTGTAGGTTTACTAGAGCAAACAAACAACAGAAAGACATGTTATATGTTTAACTGTAAACAGTGCTTTTATAAGTGGATTGTGTGCATTTGAGTGTCAGGACTGACTCCAGCACATTCAGTTAAACTAAATGATTACCTGAGCAGAAGCGACAGAGGCTATGAATGGTATAAACATCTGATCACTGATCATGTCACTGAAATGAAATAACAGGAGCAAAAACATTTTGCCCATAGAGAACAGAAGTGATTATGTGATTATTGAGTGAGCCTCGCAGCACATTACACTACACTGGGAAGAGTCAGGGCTGGGTTTGAGGATGGAGAGAGGGGAAAGCTCCCGCTGCAGTCACTTCTCATTACATTTCTACTGAGATTAGGGCTGGAGCTGCCACAGAGACGGAGGCCAATGGTCAAGCTGGAACAATGAGAGTAAAACAGCGGTCAGAGACAGAAGACGTTTTTGTTTGGAAGGATTTCTGCAGTTAAAGCAGTGCTTGGTGGTATATACCGTACTGTAGCACTGTGCGTTGTAATTGGAGTACAGTGCTATTGCTTCTCTGTTAAAGCATTAGTTTTAGCAGTATATTAAAAATGATAGAAACTGACATTTGAAAGGTTGTATTCATATTATTTTTTACTTAGAGGATCACTTACAGCTGGGGTGGTCTTTGCACTAGGCAAAAAATATGCAGTCGCCCAGGGCCCCCCATGAAATTGCGAAGTAGATATATTGTGTGTTGATGTTAAATAACCTAATTGCAATTGTTTTATTTTTATTATCTGTCATTATATTATATAGTTAGTTTATTATGTGGAATTATCTCACTATTTTGGCATGATAATTGTACTTGTTTCAAATATATTTCTTAAAAGAGGCAGAATTATCTGCTAATATGGTAAAATAATTTTACACAAGAAAATTACTCAAAATCAGTAAAAAACATCTAGAAATAAGTTAAAGGGCCCATCATGGAAAAACAAATTTTCCTTGTTTTTTTTTTTTGATAAGAGATGAATGTAGCATGTAAAGATTAAAGTTTCCAAACTCTATGTCCATGTAGTCCATATATGTAAAGCAAACTGCAAAAACAACCCATACTGAATGCATTGTTTCATGTTCTGCTGCACTCATTCACACTCAAGTTATACGGAGTGTTTCAGCCCAAACTGTTTTTTGAATGAGGCACAAAACAAAGCAGCCTATCAGCACAGAGATCGTTTACATATATGAGTCTTAAAGACACAGTAACAAACACATACATACACACACACACACACACACACTTACTAAACTGCTTATCCTTCTGGGTTGTGGGGGGAGCTGGAACCTATCCCAGCAGTCACTGGGCGGAAGGCAGGTTACACCCTGGACAGGCTACCAGTCCATTGCAGGGCAGTGACAAATACAGTCTGTTTAATTTTAAGGGGTCATGTAAATATGAATTTTGACTCTTTTGGTACCTAAACCCACAAAAATGTTGGAAATGGGCCTCGTGGACAAAACAAAATACAAGAAAAATATAGGATATAGATATATACTCTTACAACAATCACAAAATGAGAAATATTAGAAATATCAAATAGATTTAAGACGATTTCACTTGCCAAATATCATTTTTAACAGTGTACACAGTTGCGCCACTTGGAAGCCCATTCATTCAAACGTGTATCTGGAGCCCCGTTCTGAGAGCCCCAGAATCACTAAATCCGCCCGTTTACAACATTTGTGTGGTTTTATGTACTGAAAATGGTCATAAATCATTTTTAGATGACCATTTTTATATCTCTCTTTATCCCTTCAGGCAGGTTTACACTGCAGTAATTGTCATGATAATGCTGTTGCAGACAGAAATCGCATGTGAAAGAATTCTCTGATGGTGCGTTAAACTCGGTGGCCTTCGACCGCAAAATCTCCACTGTGTTCCATGCTGCCTCTGTGAAACAAAGACAAAGGCTGCGACTGAAATGTACTTTTAGTATGCAAGTGCACAGTGTCCACACATGCCTGGACACACTACATCCCCCATTTTACCAATGACCGCACGTCCTTTCACCCGTGAAGTCTTGTCACTAGATCCAATGTTCAGAGTTTTACTCACCAAAATGATTTGGTGGTACTTATCAAGTACTTATCAGTGTGTTGACAAGCCTGTCGCAATTTAATAAGAATTCAATAAGAGTTATCAAAAAACACACAAAGAACAACCAAAAAACACTTTAGGAGACGAGAGGAGAGTGTATGGCTGCTGCTATGCCTACACCTCAGCACAGAATCTGCCTGCTTTCCATTAGAATGAATACTTAACAGTTACACCACCATTAATGTTAATCCAAGTTTTAGATTTTAAAAATCAGAGATGCAGTAATTCATTATAATAACATCATTAATAACATCAAAAATAATAAATGACAAAGCATATGATGTGTGCTACCCGCACATTTTCTAATACGCGTTATGGTACTCAAAACTAATTCTGAAATTGTGAAATGACACCTTTCCGCTTCAAACAGCTCTTCAGCTCCAGTGGAATGGGATACGACACTCTACTGTGGTTGCACACTTCGAAATTTCTCCCAATGAAGTAAGTCATCCAGGGAATTTTGGCATACTGTTTGATGAACACTACCTGTTCGGACAAACTATCTCCGTACTGTACAGTATGGAAGCACGCCATTTCGGACACAGCTAGAGACTTTAAAAAATTCTGGCAGTGTCAGGAATGTTGGTGCAAAATCTGGCAGTGTGACCACTGCTACGACACATGGCTAAAATCAACCAATCAGCAGCAACATAAAATAATGAACGCATGCATCCAAGCAGGAGAGAAATAACATATATGAAGGTAAAACTTTTTTGCTCACAACTTTAAGAATATTAGCTTGTTTTTAGTTTAACTCATCAGTTCACATATAGAGTGACCTGCAGTGAAATAGCAGAGTGGACAGAAAAGTAAGCCTAAGACCTCACTTTGGAGAATGAGCATTCCATGTAGCCCCCACCCCCCATAAATTTATCACTAGAAAATCTTTACTGTATAATCTGACATGAATTCACAGTCTGCATCTTGTGCAGTATGACATGCAGCACGCATAACAGATGGCTATAATCGCTTTAGACTTAAACAGGCTGTTTTTGTTACTGTGCCTTTAAGACTTCTATAAGATAAATGAGCTCTGTTCCCATTGGCTGTCCTGCACTGTGCCTCATTCAAAAAGAACTGGGACCTGACACACTCCTTAGAACTTAAATATGAATGGGCGGAGCTAAACTGCAGTAGGCTAAATATGTGGAAATGGACCAAATTAGTTCAAACTGCGGTCGCACAGTAAATTAAATCTTAAAAAAAAATTCAGACCTTATATATTTACAAGGATTATGTTATGATTTAAACCTGAGGCTATAACTGAGACAGTAATAAGCTGAATATATACAAAATCATTATTTATAGGGTACTTTCTATTAGGAGGTGTCTGTCCCAAACCCTTGCCTCTATATTACTTAACAAGATTTAGATTTGTCATAGGTTCAATTTTTAAATAAAAAAAAATGCCGTCCCATGTTTTCATGTCACTTTCGAAACACAAGGAGTTTTAGTCATAGGTGGAGCCTTATTTTAGCCACACCCCTTCATTATAGAGTAGGAAGTGAGACTGCATCCCTGTCTCTCATGGCCACACGGTGAGCAGTTAGATCCCATGGTTTTAAAGTAAATGTGTGCCCAAAGTCTGAAAATCAGTGTGGAACATAAAGAACTGTCACTACCGAAACACACAGCTTCTGCAATTAAGTCAACACATTTGTGTTTTAATTAAAAATATTATGAATTTTATGTGTTTACATCTGTTCAAAGCTATGTTTGCTAGTCATGCACTGGCTAGCGTTTTTGAGTTAAGCCCAAAATGAGCTAAAAGGGTCACTTCCAAAACATTTGCTAAAGTTTCAGTAGCGTAATGATTATGCTGGTAGTGACAGAATGGAACACTCAATTATTTGTTTTAAGAAACAAACATAATTAAGGTATAGGGTCAATTAAAGCACAGGGATTTTGAGGGAACTTTAAACTTTATTTATTTTTTAAACTTTAAGTTTAAAAAATAAATACCCCCCACCCCATGTAGGACATGGGCCCTTTAACAAAGCAGCATTAAGAAGCATTCCTTTAAGCAGAAGCAAAACAGAGATTTAAATTGGAAAGTGTGTAAACCCAGATGGTTTTATATGGTATCTTATAAGGAAACAATAATATATTGTCTTCAATGAATTTGCAAACCTCTGTAGCTCAAACTGCATCACTGATAAGTAGGTGGAAGAGAGAGAGAGAGAGAGAGAGAGAGAGAGAGAGAGAGAGAGAGAGAGAGAGAGAGAGAGAGAGAGAAGGAACTGACAATAAAAGCAAAAGTTTCATTTACTATGTGCTTCATTATGAGGACTCCATCCTGAAATCAAAGCAAACAAAACAAATAATCCCAATATTAATCTATATAAATACAATGCACTTCAACTGACTGCAATAATTACATTGTTTGTACACAAGAATTACAATGAGAAATCTTTCACTGCAGAGTAAAATGTGACAAAAATGTAATTAAATTAAACAAGAGCTCTCCAGAGATGCGTAAGACAAAGCAAGTTTAGGACAGAGCTGTACTGTGATCGGATGCACTGTGCAGACCCAGGTGCTTCACTAGATAAATGCATCATTCAGTCTAGTCCAGTGTTCTCAACCTTGGTCCTGGAGGCCCACTGTCCTGCACATTTTAGCACTTTTCTGGCTTAAACACACCCTCTTTAACTCAGAAAATGAGCTGATTAGTTGGATCAGGTGTGTTGGGAGCTTGGAAAACACATAGAAGAGCAGGGCAGTGGGCCTCCAGGACCAGGGTTGAGAAACACTGGCCTAGTCCACACAAGAGAAGGAAAGTTGTGTAATATTCTCATCAATCACAAGAGGGAGCTGAAGAGTCACTACCTCAAAGTGCCTACACTATAGTATCACTGAGATCAAGTCAGTGATTCTTAAGGAAGACAGCATGACTAGCGTTGGAATATTCTTGTTTACATTCTTAAGATTAACTTTAAAGATAAGTTTGACATGTGCCGAATATGGCTGTTAGAACTACACAGCTATTGTCCATCTGGGGCAAATTTGGGTCACATTATTGGGCTGTTAACACGATTTTTACAGCTTTCAAAATGCTAAATGGCAAGAATGTATTACAATAGTGTTGAAATTACTAAAATCAAAGTAAACATTCACCTAGGCTGCAGGCTCTTTGAACTTATAGACAGTCATGACTTCAGCTCCCTATATGCCTTCTCAAGCCACTATGTCTGAAACCATTAAGCTCTGTTCACCTCACTGCTTTAAAGCGACAGTCCACTGAAAAACTAAAGTTACACAGTCCCTACCCCCAAAATGTAGCCGATCAGCTTATACCTGAACAATCAGCATAGAGCAAAGGGGGAACAACTGTTGCGAATTTTGCTAAACTACTGCCATAATAACGGATTCAAAATCAGATGAGTAAACCAAAAATCATCCCACTAACTCAGGACTTCAAATCCAGTCCACATGGGCCTGATCCAGTCCACATTTTTGTACTATTCCGCTCCAAACACATCTTATGGCGGTGAATTGGTAGATCCGTGGTCCCCAATCCTGGTCCTGGAGTACCCCCTGCCCTGCATGTTTTTGTGTTCCTCCACTTCCAACACACCTGAGCCAACTAATCAGCTCATTAACAAGCCCTTCCTGACTTGAAAAGGGTGTGCTGGGACTGGGGAAAACACTAAATCCTGCTGGGCAGGGGGTCCTCCAGGACCAGGGTTTGGAACCTGTGGACTAGAAAAACGGCTTATCTGGCTTAGGTGTGCTGGGAGTGGGAAGAGAACGAAAAACACGAACTGGTAAACCTGAAAGACCGGATTGCAGCTCTTCTAACTAAAATAAGAGGCGTAACTCTGAGGCTGGAACTGTACAACTGTGGAATAAGACTGCGGCTGATTCGCAGTTTAGATTTACATTAGCATTCAGACGGCTGGGCCCTTTCAGTTTCAATAGACTGAATACATTCTTTCATGCACACTCACTCATCAGAAGCAGGAGAGGGATGTTTCCACCAACTTTGAAGCAGTTTTTATGCTTTTTTATATACACACTCAAAAGTCACCATCACACAATTAAACAACCATCAACAACATCTGAATTAATGGACAATATGAAGCACGCTGATCCAGTTTACTGTTCGACTATTGAAGAAGGAGTAAAGTGAACGTTATTGTCGCTGTGTGGGATATAGATGAAAAAAATAAAGAAAGAGAAAGAGAGAAAGAGAGAGCGAGAGAGAGAGAGAGAGCGCGCAAGGGGGTGTAAAGAGAAAAGACAAAGAAAAAAAAGTTTAAAAATAGAGAAAGAAAAAAGAGGAGGAGAAAATGAAAGAATAAGTGTGGAAGGAAAGGTAAAGGATAGAAAAGGAGAGAGAGAGAGAGAGAGTGAGAGGAGGAAAGGACAGAAAAAGAAAGAGAAAGGAAAAAAACAAAAAGAAAGGTGAGACTTTAGTGTTACCGTATCAGACTGTTGTCATCCCGAATCTGACTATTATAATAATAATAATAATAATAATAATAATGTTGGTGAAGATGTTTCTATGTTGCTGTGGTTTCTGAGAGAGCTGATGGAGCAGCGTCAGAATGGTGAGGGTGAGCGAGTGTGGGCGAGAGACAGTGGGTTTAGGTTTAGGAGAATAAAAGTCACTTGTTGGGTGGATTGTAGGGCTCCAGAAGAAGTTTGGAAAATGTGTTGACTTTGTCCGCTCCTCGTACCTCATGAGGCAGCAGAGGCAGTTTAACTATATGGAAATCTTCATACAGATCTTCCATCTGAAACACAAAGGACAACAATGTGTAATCTGTATTTCTGTCAAGTGCACTGATAATGCAGTTTTATTAACAAAAAACAGGTGCAATTTATTGTTACACAACCATTTTCAAACCTCTCTTTATTACAATTAAACAGGCTGTTTATATTGATATGTATATGGCCTCTGTTCTGGTTGCCTGCCCTGTATTGTGGCTCATTCAAAAGCTGTGCAGAACAACTGTTGGGCTGAAATTGTCAAGGATATCAGAAAAAAACGCCAAGCGTCTTATCTGGTGTATGCTTTTAGATGGCTTCAGTCGTCTTTCTGTGTTTCCGCCATTAGACTAAACAGACCCTCACCTGGTCCAGGTATTTGGACTGGATCTTGTGTCTGGCTTCGCACATCTTGCATGGCTTCTCGGTGTCTGGGAACACAAGCTGGTTGACGATGATGTTGTGTGTGTCGATACGGCACTTGGCCAGCTCCTGAATCAGCCGCTCCGTCTCATAAAGAGACAGAAACTCTGCAATACACACGCAGATGAACGTCGTCTGCTCCTGTTCAGCACAGTGAGAAAAGGACACCCCTGGTTAGGGCTCAGCCTGGACTTCCAGCTGATCATGGTCTTCACATACTGAATCACTGACTAATAGTGAATAAGACAGCACTGATGGAAATCTCACTAATAAATCACTTATCTTTAAATGTTAGAAAAGGACAGCACATTCAGAAATGTGATGCTATTTTGAAAAACAACCAAATATACTGTAGGGTGCATTTGTGTGTAAAAACATTTTACTTATAAGTTTACTTAGAAGATGCTTTTATTAAGTAGAACATGCACTTTAAATTTGCTCTGTTTGGGAGATGTAGGGTCATTTCTGCTTGAGCTTTACATTTTAAAAGTTAAGTTACGAGGTTATTTATAATTGCTTTGCTTTATATTCATAGTAGTTAAGACTCTGCAAGCTTCTGACATTTGACAATTAAGGACTGAAGCAAATTTGACAACTAAAGTCCCCCATTTAACGTCAGCGGGGAGCAAATATGTTTTTATTCTTTAATGTGATGTATTTCTGAGTGAAACTAGACATTTGGGTGAAAAAGAATTATAAGCAGGACATGAATTTATCCTGTGGTATTTAATCGGAATAGGAAACGTGTTCCAAACCAAACAGGTAGTCAGATCCAGGAGGCACATGAGGAGGATGAGATGGGGGAGGGAAAACATGCTATATATTATTGGTATTCAACAGAATTTTATGTACATGAACAGACAAGGTTTAACAAAAAAAAAGTCGATTTCGATTTCAACCTGACTTTAACTAAATTTATAGTTGTCTGGTTATATAAATGACATATTATGGACCACTCTAAGGTATTTGAATTTTTAGCTCCTTAAAATCCATAATGGTAACACTTTTCATATTAGTTGTACCCTAGTAAGTAGTGTCTTTACAGAGCTTGTCTTAGTGAGAATCAAGGCGATCAGATTGATTCAAATCAGTAACTCACCGGGTCCTTAAACTGCTCGCTGACTGAGCGGATAACGGGAAGAGTCTCCTCCAGTTTTGAGGCCAGCTGGTCTGCATTCATATCCCCCAGTCCCAACATGTTACACATCTACAGAGATATATCAAAATCACCTTATTAGACTACATTTCCAAGAATGTAACGATGAAGATAACAGGTCAGTAATTATTGGACATGTGCATTCTGCTTAATTTTGATATGTGCCTTGGTTGTGTTAATTAGCTAAAAATACAGCTAACACTGTATGCTGCAGGAAAATCCTTGTCTTCTACAGCTGTTTTCCTCTTCGGTGGACAATGCACCAGCATAGCAGTATGTCAGAAAAAATATTTTAACTGTTTCTACATCTAACATCAACCTTGCTTTTGTAGTGTGTTATCAGTTACTTCCTTATTGTGTCCCTGGCAATGGCGCTTGTGTTTCAGAGTAGCAAAGTCTTCCCATGATTAAAACCAATAAATAGCTGAAACATTATTTCAATATACGAATGCTGGCTCTTGACTAATTTAACCAAGTGCTTGAGTACCTTGACACATCCCTACTAATTACATGCATAAATATTAAGGACGTATCAATCAGAAGTTGGCAAATCAATGGCACTGATTTGAGTATTAGCACTGATTATAAACAGTTAAATTTATATAACAAAAAAAATGAGCTCCTTTCTTTCACCAAAATAAAATTCTCTGTCTATTTCAGAAAATAATAATTAACAAAAATGTTTTGATGTGTTGTTTTTATTGCCTATATTTCACTATAAACAGTGATTATAGTATTTTGATAATCTTGTTGTCAAAATAACAACTGAATCATAGTGAAATTTGACTTTTCCTAATTCACTGGATCATTTAAAAAAAAAAAAAAAAAAACAAAACAAAAAAATTAAATTTCTAATACTTATTCCATTTATTAAAACGCTTTTGGCTTGTAGTTAAATGTTTCACGTGTACTGTATCTGCACACTGCATTCCAGAAACTACATTTCCCAGCATGCAGCACTCCATACCTGAGATATGAAGGGGCTAATTTGGTTTTTGATCTGCATGAGACGGCCCAGGCCACGCTCCACTATGGTGGGGAAGTTGAGCAGACGCAGTGTGTGGCCTGTAGGAGCTGTGTCGAACACCACTACTGAGAAGTTCATTCCTTTTACTAACCTGCATCACAGAAACACAGCAAAACACGAAGGTTGTATCAGAAGGAGAATGCTGAAAGTATCGATTACGAATGGGATCAGGCTAAACAGCAGCGTGCATTTTTTTTAGCTTTAACACAACTGATGCGTGCAGTTGTATAATGACTTCAAATGAAGCTCAGCCAATCAGATTTTAGAACAAGAACTAGCCATCTTATAAAATAGAACAGATTCTGTCTTTGCATAAGCTACAGTGCGACAGAGTCACTGGCTGCTTTGGCATCTGACCTCATGACCTCAGCGTAGCTCATGGCCTCATCGATACCAGGGAAGGCACTCATGGCCTCCTGCATCATCTTCTTGCCCATGCTCAGCATGTTGTCTTCTTCAAAGAACTCGTCTGGCAGCTCTGCCACCCCCAGACTCGGGTCAATCTCCTACGAAGACAGGGAAAGGATACAGAGGATGGGTTTTATATCTGTGATCCACTCTGAATACTTTTCCAAGAGTACAGATACATACAGGGTATTGTAAGGGAAAAGTAGCACCCAAACAAAACAGATTTTTTTTCACATTTACCAACATTTTAGGATTATCAACATTGCATATAAAAACTCACAAGACATGTGTAGGTTCACTTTTTATTGTACAGTAAATAACATGGGTATATTTGTGTTGCATGCATAATGACCCCTAGGTCCTATCACCATCACTGTAAAGAAATAATTCATTACATACATGAATCTCTTAGAATTACCAAACACGTTTTTGGTAAAATGGCTTAAAGACAGATATATGTAAATTACCTCTGTTCTGACTGTCTTATATTGTGTCTAGGTCAAAAAGCAGTCTAAGAAAATTAGAAATAAAAAGCTTTTCATTTGGACAATGGAGATACAAGGTTTTGTTCAGAAAGCAGCATATATTAGTGTGTTAATTTAATACAGAGCAAGTCCTACTTTAACTGTAGTTATCATCCAACACCTAGCCCGATTAATCAGTACTTCGTAATGTTAAATCAGTGCTGGAGATGGAATTTAACAAATCTATTCAATGGTTGGAGGCTTTGACCAGATATCTGGAACCAAACTTTGTTGTTCTACCCAGCTCACAATGTTTCAACTAACACTGTATGCTGCAGGAAAATCGTTGTCTTCTACAGCTGTTTTCCTCTTTAAAGTAAGAAATAAATCTTGCTGCTTTTTCAATATTTATGTTTGTTTGCTTTTATTCTAATGACATTCTGCTTTTACTAGCAAAAAACATACTGCTAAGATGAACGGTTTTAAACAGTGTATGCAAATGCATTGGTTTTCATGACATCACAAAAACAATGAATTGTGTTTTCACACCTTAGTCTTCATATATGGAGTGTATGGACTTGGAAGTGAACAGTATATTTTGAAGAAATATTTACATTGTACGTCAGATTCTTCTGAGGAAAACTGGATTTTCACTCATTTTGGCCCTTTAATTTGTCTGACTAGTACAAGAGACATTATAAAGGAGGAGGAGTTATTTCAAAAAGCTGCATGAGGGAAAAGCAGCCTGTCGTTGTGGGGATTTGCACAGCAGCCAGAACACCACGAAAAATTGTTTGTGTGTTATTTGAGCCAAACACTACAAACTATTTATGCAATATTCATCATTTTTTACCAGTGATATCTAATATGTTTTTGAAATGTTGATGCAGCTACAAGTTTCAGGTTTCTAGGTCCCTCCTCATTCAAAGCACTGTATATCTTGTATGAGTAGAAATAACTGCCTGGGAAAATTTTGGACAGACTTTCCTATAAAAAAGGTACTAGTACTAATGATACTTCTAAAGGAATATACACTGCCTAATTGTAGTTTTTATTAAAACTAATAAAACTACTATTAAAACTACATTCAGAGGTACAAAACATACATTCATAAACCTAAAATATCAACTGACGAGCATACCGAGTGCACTGACCATGGCAAAGAGGTTGTCATAACCCTTCACTTTGGTGGGCACTTTGGAGAACTTCTGGTCGAACGCGTCAGAGATGTTGTGTGCCGGGTCTGTGGAGATGATGAGGACACTCTCTCTCACTGCGGCCAGCTGAACAGCCAAACTACAGCTGCAATACAAACAGGACAAAGAAAGAGAGAGGCTGAACAGGGCATTCTGCTTAAACCAAGTCTGTTCACAGAGAACTCATAGTAACAGCCTCTACTCTTCTGGGCAGGCTCTACACTAGATGATGGAACATTGTTGTGAGGATTTGATTGCACTGAGCCACAAAAGCATTAGTGAGGTCAGGTACTGATGTTGGATGATTAGTTCTGGATCACTCCAGCTCATCCCAAAGGTACTGGATGGAACTCCATCACTCCAGAGAACACAGTTCCACTGCTCCACAGCCTGATGATGGGGGGCTTTATAGCCCTTTAGCTAAGCTTGGCATTGGGCATCATGTGTGGCTGCTCCAGAGCATCCCATTCTATTGGCAATGCTTTTCTATTGAGATTATACAAGCTGTGTTTGCCTAAACCTGATCTAAATGGGGTTTTTAAATGGTGAAACACCACTGATATTGCAGTTTACTCCAAGACTAGGTTTAATCCATGTTTGAAACCAATCCATGACGTACATAGTTGGTTAGTGTACTTACAGCATGATCACCTGTTGCAACTTCATTAAATCTGCTGTTCTAAATGCTTTAATCACAAGCATGCAGTGAAATCTCCCAAACACGTTTAAGCACTAGCTAAGCCCATGTCCTGGCACCCTGTAAGCTAGCCAGCTTGTTGCATGTGCTATGGCTGTGTCTGTTACTGCTAAAAACGCCAAGGTATTAATTAAGTTAGCTGCCAGTAAACCTGTGACAGTAAGCGGAGAAAGTTTTGGGAACAGGTCAGTTAACCTACCTGGGCAGCTATTTACAGAACAGACAGTTACGGTAGCTACATATCCTTTCAGGATTTGCAACCGCCCAGTCAAATAATATCGATTTGTTCATTTACTGTCTACTTTAGCTAGCATTACTGTAACAGGCGTAAACACAAAATACTCCATGTCCACAGCTTTCCCCGCTAAAGAGACTTTCTGACACGGCGGAGTCAAATTAGAGACTGTAATATAAACCAGAAACGTTTGATAACGAGGTCAAAAAATGTAAAATAACATAAGCTAACACTCAATGTACTGTTAGCTAAGCAACGTTAGCTTCAGCACTGACAGCACAGCTAGGCTGAATCTCAAATAGCTCCCACCTCCCTGCATAAGGCACTACAGTGGTTAAGAAACGTTGGCCGCCAGACCCAGAAAGAGGAGTATACATACAATAGGGAATTGGACTAAAGTGTCTAGATCCCAAATGGCTCTTTGGTAGACACATTATGCACTGCTTCAGTCGAGGAGCTGTTCTTTTGAGACCAGCGTAGCGCACTACGTAGGGAGTGCGGGTCCATTTGGGATTCTGCCCCAGTTAACGCTGACGCTAACGTTAGCCAGCTAACCGTAGCCGGTCAGCTTATTAAGAAATATCTCATTACTGCCGCATTACCTGCAGGTTGTTTTTCCCACTCCACCTTTGCCTCCAACAAAAATCCATTTCAGAGATTTCTGCTCGATGATGTTCTTCAGCGTGGGCTCCAGAGGCTCTATGTCGGGCGCATCTTCAAATTCGTCTTCCAATGAAGCTGCCATCTTGTTACACCACAGTTCATTCGGACTGTACCATTTGAACCATTTGAACCATTTGAACGCGGTCACTAAGCTAAGTTCGCTGCAAAGACGACATTTTGGCTCAAGCTGCGATGAAACGGGAAAACGCGGATTTTAAGGAGAATTAGATCCGAAATGTCGTCTCACAGTACAGTTACGAGACAAAACTCACTTTGGCTCAAAGCTGATGACTCAAGCTTCCTTTGTTGGTGGACTGTACCACAATACGCGCAGAACTGCAGGGAGAAGCTTCCAGAACGGGTTTCTCCAGTTTAATCAACGTGACCGTGTTTTAAATATAATATAATATAATATAATATAATATAATATAATAAAGTTTAATCATAGAATAACAATGTAGACTGAAATACAATAAAATATATCCCTGCTGAAAAAAAAAAAAATCATAGAAACCATTAAATGTTTCTGTTGGCACCTGGTGGTGTCCAGTAGTCACTAATGGTATTTTATGTTATTCTGGTGGGTTGATATTGCACTGTAATCTGAACACCATGCCACCAGGGCCCCTCTGCAAACCAGAGCAAGTGGCAACCGCCACATCCCAGAACAGTTCTTGGCCGATGCTGGTTTACATACGCGAGCGTTGGTTGACTTCCGGATAGATATTAGGCAGGTGGGCCAGAATTGAGCCAGATGTTGGACAGCTATGTAAGGTTTTGACTCATATTTATGTTTAAGGGCCAATTCTGACGTGAATGTTGTGGACCAACAGTGGGGATGAAGGAAGAGGGCCACAGCACTATTAAGCTGCCGCAGAGCCGTGCTTGGGTGATTTATACCTCAGTGCGTTTGGCTCAAGTCTGGCATGTCATAAGTGGCCTATTACTGAAGTTACAGAAAACAGCAGACGCTCAACATTTAAAACCCCTAATTTGACAAATTTTCCCACCCAAGTTTATCATTTTACAATGGACAAGCCAGCAGCCAGGTTTGAAGATAGCTAATTACTCTGAAGCTAATGCGCTAACTCTGAGCTAAAGTGTTAACCCAGAGCTAACGTTAACTAACTATTGTGAGCGTTAATAGCAGAGCCGGTTTATGAGGAGCCTGGCCACTTCCTATTCCGCCCCGTTGTTTTTTGTTTTTGACATAATTTGAAAATGCTTGTTGTCCTTCACACTCCAAAAAAAAAATGACCCAAAAAGTCTGGTTCCATTAACTTACATTAAAAATAAAGTATGTTTCTTCCTTCTGCTGTAAAGTTGTCATTTTGGAAATATGAGGTTTTGTTCTGACAGCAGCGATTTCCTGGTTCATATGAGGGTTATGTCAGTGCTTTACATTAGTTTGACCTGTAAGTAGCTTAATTTTGATGAAGGGTTTCTTAATGTTTGTTACAACAAAACATTCTTGTTGCTTATCGAGTTTGCAGTTGTGGAGTTTTTGCCTCATTATTCAGTTTCTAAAGTAAAACCCATCTATTCCAGATGAGCTGTTATTGAAGTTCTCTGACTGCTTTTAGCAGAACCACTTCCAAAGCGACAGAGCACATTCAGTCTGCAGAGGGATCTGATGGAAATGCTGATTGTGGAGGTATTCCAGATTGTCAGGTAAAGGGGTTTGTTACTCAGTTAAAGAAGTAGCTGAATGATAGCTGAATGCTTTTCCTCTTTTCTCAGGCATCAGAAGGTTGACAGCCTTTAACTGATGTAGAATTTTAGGAATGTTTATAAATGATATGTTTTTACTTTAGAACAAGTATTTTGAAAGCTTTTATTATTATTATTATTATTATTATTATTATTATTATTATTATTGTCACTGAATAACTCACTATTTAGTACTTTAATTAGATATTTGAAAAACTGTGCTTTTTTCTAACTTGTGTGTTCACTAGCCATTGTATGAGATTCATCTACAGTAGACCAAAACATTTGTGTGTTGTATATTTTTGTGTAATCGACACTGGAGAGCACATTAGAGCCCATCCACGCTGCGGCATGCAAAGGTTTCACTTCCACTTTCTCTGGCTTTCTTTCACCAGCACCATCGTTAAACCTTGCTGTCAAACCGCGCCATGCCTGCTTCGCCATCAAGTCTCACGCTCCAGCTCTGGGCTCACGGTCTTTCGCCAGGCTCTGCTTTTGCCGTTTGCCTTCAAGTTCTTGAAGCACTGTTCCACACCAGCCCACTGGGGGAGCTATCCCACTTCTGACACCAAATATAGCGTCTTGGAAGAAGGCCATGATTTCTACTGTGAGAGTTGCTCTTTATTTACACCATCAGAAAAGGCACATGGCAAACAGCCAGTTAGCAGGGAAGGTCACTTCTAACAAAACAACTCTGCTTCATGACCTTAATCTAACTAAACCCACTCTCTGGCACAGAATAGCACACATAACACATACTCTATCGCAAACTAGCAAACACTGACATTAACAACACAAAACAGCATTTTAAGTCCCTTTGATGTAGGTAGGCGGGTTGTGTTGTGTTGTGAATTCTTCATTTTTCATACACTGTTTAAATTCTTAGCGTTGTGTGTGGCCATAGGTTACACCTATGTGCCTATGCTGATGAGGAGAGTCATACATATTGACTAAAAGGGGGACTTTCATTCTCTTGTGTAACATTCATGATGCTGTGGCATTCATGATGCTGTGGCAAACATGGTGTTGATGTGCATAGACCTTTTCTTTATGTTGTTTCTGAAACTGCTACCATTATGTGTATACGTACATACATGTGAATGTACAGTGGTGACCACTTGAATTGTTACAGTCCTACAGTTTCTACATGGAGTCCTGTAACAGCCATTACCAATCTATAACCAGCTTAGCTGGTAAAACCAGAACAGGCAGCATGGCGCAAACCTACAATATTGTAGGTTTTTTATTTTATATTTTTCAAGTTTATTGGGAATAATGCTTAAATGATAATACTTATTATAAAATACTTATTTTTAGTAATTTCTTGATATGTTATCTGCCTCAAGATTTGTTCACCATTTTTCAAATACACATCATTCTGGGTATTAATTTATTATAAGTACATCTCAGTGTTGTACAGCTTTCTTAATTATTCATCTACAGCCCTGTCAATCTGGACATGTCAGTTTCTTCTTTTTTCAGCTTTCTATTATTTTTTATAAAATGCTACCTACAATGTTGGGGTAGTTGGGTTACTAGCATCATAATAAAATAATGATGTACATTTTTTGAGAAATTAGTTTTATGTTTTAAAAACACTGATTCCAAATGTTTGAACGGTAGTATATGCACACTCACAACACAGTCGTGGTATAAAAATTTAATTGTATTTTTGACCTATATTCTGAATCTTCAATCTTGAGCTGGAAAAATGGCCCTGGATATGCCTAAAAGTTGAGGTCTGCATGGAACTGAATTTTTTTTTAGGCCCTCTCTCATCCACTCATACAAGATTTCACCCTGCTCTCGCAGAAAATCTACACCATTTGTCCTGCACCCGCCTACAACCTAAACGTTTTGTCCTGCTCCCATCTGCAGTTCTGTATAACTGGTTTCCATCTGTGTTAGTCATCAGGAACACAGAAGGTGGGGGTGCTGAGGGTGTGGAGCCCCCCCCAAGATTTCACTCAGGGTTGGTTACCTGTAACTACTAAAAATAATAAAAAAAGATCTGAACTTGAAACTAAATTGAGTATATAGTAAAGCCATATATCGGCACTGTTTACCTTAACAATGGTATTTTTTTCATGTCAGGCATATACTGCTTAAAATACCTTCCAATGTCTCTGTTAATCACAACTGAATTCGGCTGCCGTAGGTCAGACTTGCCTTGGTTGGCTTTATTGTTTTGTATTTGCCTTTATTAAGAGCACTTTCCACAGCTGTGGCTGTCTGATTGTCTGAAAGCTCCACCTGTAGCCTACAAGAATACAATTCATCTAATTGGTTGCTTCTATTAAGAACTAATTTAGAACTTCTATTTAGAATTAGACTGATGTCTTTTTTTGTTTTGTTTTTTGTTATTTTGCTGTTAGATATTATTTATATGTGCCAATTATTAATTGATCGTTTTCTTTTTTTGGCTATTCATTAGTATTCAAAGTTTCTTTGTGGTTATTGAGATGGAGAGAAAACAACACTCTCCACTCTGCCTAGACATCATGAGATGCTTTCAGGTGACTTTCAGGAACATTAACAAAAAGTCAAGCTATTATAGACATTCTTCACAGAGAATGTGTGTGTATGCAAGCCATCGATGCTAAGTATCTTTTAGCTGGAATCGCTGAAGACTGTCTCTCTTAAAAAATTTTCTTCTGGTTGCTCCACTTCAGATTTTTTTGAAGTGTAAACACAAAAGTCCACTGATTCTGTCAAACTTTATTCAAAGAACTTAATCGAACAAGAACCTTTTGAATAGCAGGAGCTTCAAGAGGATAACAAAAAAATGCATGAAGTGGCAACGAAAAAAAAAAGCAGAAGAAACAATGTTAAAGAAAAATCAAAGCAAATAATACCAAAGCTAAACCATTTAACCTGTCAAATGAAAAAAAATCAATACACCAGTGCACCAAACATTATTTGCAGTACACTGTTTTTGTGGCCAATGAAATAAATGTGGATTCTAACTCTATTCAAATTCTGTACTGAAATCTGTGATTTTAGACATGAAATCTATGGTTTCTTAGATGAAACATTATTTTTAGATGTCCTCCAAATTTACTAGCGTAACAAACCATTTGGCCCATGAATCGAGTCAGTTCTTGATACTATTTTGAAGAATATTTTAAAAAATAAAGAAAAATGCAAGCTGTAACTATAGTTGTATGCAAGCGTTTTGTTGATTTTCTAAGTGAAAATAAGTTACATCCTGTACAGGGAGCACACTTCTGCCTATTGTAATGCACACTCACTGTTTGATTTGCTGATTTTAATATATTGGTAAAAATGAAACATAAAATATGTCCTGTGAAAAAGTAATGGCACATTTTAAATTTCATTTTGTTTTCCAATTTTTGCCCCTCAAAACTCAGCAAATAAGTAGAAATTGTGCATTAAAAATTTAAGAAAAATGTCATTTATGTTTGTTTCCTGTGGAGGATGAGTTCCTGTAGAGTTATTTTCACATACAAAATCAACACTGAATAACATCATTGTAATGCACTGTCATGTTTTTGCCTTGTGATTGTTAAATCCACAATTTGCCAGTGTTAATCACGTAACAGTTAC